TGGGAGGTATCCCTCCACCGCCACCATTACCTGGAATGGGAGGTGTCCCTCCTCCACCACCTCTTCCTGGAATGGGAGGTGTTCCTCCTCCACCACCGCTTCCTGGAATGGGAGGTGTCCCTCCTCCACCACCTCTTCCTGGAATGGGAGGTGTTCCTCCTCCACCACCGCTTCCTGGAATGGGAGGTGTCCCTCCTCCACCACCTCTTCCTGGAATGGGAGGGGTTCCACCACCCCCACCGGTGCCTGGAATGGGAGGAGTTCCACCACCACCTGGCATTCCCGGAGTGCCACCTCCGCCACCATTTGGGGGACTTATGTCAGCGCCACCAGGTGCAGGATTCACCGCAACAGACGGGAGATCATTCGCAAGATCACAAAGTTGTCCCGTGGTTCCAAATCATAGACCCAGTACTAAAATGAGGACTTTGGCCTGGCAAAAATTACCGGCACAAATAATTCAAAGACAAAGGAATTCTGTTTGGGCCAGGGTTTTGTCCTTGGAGGAGGTACAGCCGGATTTTCAGATGGAGGAAGAACTCTTTTGTCAGAAGAAGGTGGTAAAGAAAAAAGAAGAGAAGAAAAAGGCACCTAAAGAGGTAAAGACAAAATTACTTCACAAATTAAATATACAATGCTTGCGTCCAAAATGTTTTTAGTCAGCTTTTCGCAAACATGGAAGGTGGTCGCTTACAGCGGAGTCGTCTCCAATTTCATTGAAATTTTGTGAGAAATGAAGAAGTCCATTTCTTGGTATTGGTGTTGAAAATACCGATTGAATTCCAGGAGAGAAAGTCACAGGGTGCCACTTTCAAAGCCAATGAAGAACCCTGGATGCGCCATTTAATTATATTRATGTGCGTACATTTGATTTTAGATAACATTGCTGGATCCTAAACGAAGCTTAAACCTAAATATCTTTTTGAAACAGTTTAAAAAGTAAGTAATCCTTTCACACCTTATGACAATGTTAGAAACGTGTATTCTTCATGGCAAAGCCTGTCCCAAATAGTGGTAATATGTCATGCAATTGAATTTTTCACAACCAAATACAAGATATCTTATATCCCGATAGTTATCAATTGAATGTAAAACTGTATCACTGCTCTACGTTGTAAACTGATTATTTTGTTATCGACTGATAACAATGTACATAATCTGTTTTCTTGAAATTCTCAAAGGTTTCAATTCGTTTTTTATCAGATCAAATAGTGAAATWATTGAATTTATTCGACAAGGAAACGTCACGAAACTTGAACCCGACGTGCTCAAAAGTTTTATCAAACTCCTGCCTGAMAACTCGGAGGTAAGTGAAATATAGTATGTTCTTGGCGATGTAGAGTTGTRCACTGAAAAACAGTTCAGCAAGGAAGTGCTTACCTGTTTTTTATGAGTGGTTCATTTCACTTTCATCTGTTTTCATATCTTCTYAACGTTGGATTCGTTTGCTRTACGAAAGAGAGCTGTTAACAACTGGGCTTCTTCTTATTATGTTTGTGTCGTCATTCATTGGATAATMCGTCATTCGAATCCGCGCGCAATGGAGTCACACAGGGTGACCGCGTTGTCGTAAATCATCGCGCGTGTTCATGAACATATATCAATATATGTTAATGATTATAATATTTTATTATTATTTATTTCAGGAAGAACTTATCAAATCTTTYTCAGGGGACAAAACTAAATTGGGGTCCGCAGAGCAATTCTTGATGGAGTTAATATCAGTCGAAAGGTTTGTCATTTATGCTCGATATCAACATCTATTTTATTAAACAGACCTCAGTACTTCTTTTATTGTCAACAGATATCATCTTCGYCTAGAAGCAATGTTRCAGAAAGCAGAGTTTAAAATTAACCTGGATTCTTTGAAGCCCAATATTACGTGCCTTCAATCCGCCATCAAGGGTAAAATGCTAAACAAATCTTCAATAATTAGATACAACTTGTCTTTAACTGATATTTATTGTGTTTGCAGAYATTCTCGAGAGCGATATTTTACCTGAAGTTCTTCAACTTATTCTCATCATCGGGAACTTTATGAATTCTGTAAGTAACTCGGCGATGGAACGTTTTCATTACCGCACCTGTTATAACACTGAGACTGATATTGTATGAGCTCATAGTTAATAGAGGGAGATCTCCTTGTGATTAGCTGTATAGTTTTAGTACTGAGTTTTGTATTGTTTTATGTTTTCTTACAGGGTGGTTACGCTGGAAATGCTACAGGTATCAAAATCTCGTCKCTCGTCAAACTTGTCGATACAAGAGCAAACAAACCAAGAATGAACCTTATGCATTTCCTTGTWCATGTAAGTGAAGTGACAAAGACAACAACATGTTCCATTGCATTTTGTATCCACTTACTTTCCAGTTCTTGTTTTTGTATTTATGATTTATAAGATGAACAAAGTATTTTAATGCAGTTTTTTATTCACGTTCACAGGTTGCAGAGGAAAAACGGGAAGGAGTGCTACAGTTTCCAGATCAAATGAAACATTTGGAGAAAGCAACAAGGTAACACTCACCAAGAGACTAGTTTACAAATCACTTGATATTAACATTRATTATCTTATCTGTGCTACAGATTATCGCTCGATTTTATTACTGGAGAAGTTGGTACGTTGAAAAAGAATATAGTATCATTAAAAAAGCAGCTCAAGAAGGCTCCAAAAGATATCCGAGAACAGTATTGTGCGTTTGTAGAGGTAACTCCTAGAAGAGAGAAGCGAGGGTGGTGGAGAACGCGTATGGTTTTGCCAAATCMAATCCACAGTGATGTCAAATCATATATTTTGTTCATTTACGTGAAGTTAGCCTCTTTTGCAGACGTTATTAGTATCGGCCATAAGTTCATAAGGTCATAAGTGGACAGGGAACTTGACCAACACTAATAACGTCTGCAAAGGAGGYTAACGTTAAGTTTGAAGGATGTTATAATGATAAACCTCTACTTGGTATATTTACATTTTTTTGTCGGACAGGATGCTTTAAAAGATATTGAKGTTCTYGAAGAAGGAGTAGACGAGATCAACGTGTTGATCAAAAAGCTCGCTGTTTACTTTTGTGAAGACGAAAAGAAGCTCAAAATTCAAGAAGTTCTTTGCTTGTTTAGAACGTTCTGTGACCAATTAACAACCGCAAAAAAGGTAATTCAAATGTTAAATGGTTTTATATTAGCCAGAAGTTAAGACATGTTAACGGTGTTTTTTTGGTTAAAACCAGGAAAACGAACAGTTTCGAATCCAAGAGAAAAAGAGACAAGAAAGGGAACGAAGAAAGAAGGAAGAAGAAGCAAAACGTGCTGCAAATCCTCACAAAGTCAAAGGCAAGATACCCGAGCCACAGGACGATGGTGGCTGCATCGTAGATAAACTGTTAAGCGAAATCCGTGGTGGTTTTCAACTGCGAAAAACGCAYTCTGGCAGTGCCGCAGGGAGAAGAARATCGCACCTACCAACTTGTGAAGGTAAACAAAGAGAAAGCAAGGCTCATCTTGTTCATCTTGATGCAAACAGAGAAAGAGTTGATTAGTTTTCATAAAYCTAGAATAAACTAAGATTGAATGCTGTAAATAGTATGCCTTCATTTTGCGACAAAGGMTTACTTTTCTTGACGCATGTACAAGACGTGGTTTTGAKTCGAAGCACATTGGTAAAAAAGATGTATTCCAACATGCTTAATATTAACTATTATTTCAATGATAAATGTCCATTGATAGATACGATAAATCATCGTTACCGCACATACTTTATTCTCTTCAAATCGTATATATTTTTTCCGGTAAATCTGAGCCCTKATAGATAGTTTAGTATAATATGTTTTTGCATGTTCATCATGTGCTTTTCGTATGATGATTTCGTTTACCGATGGACCTTGAGTTGCGGCCAGTTGCCTTSTAATATAGATGTGAACTAACCTGTTTTCTAATGAAATAGCATTGCTTTTTGTAATATAACACATATTATACCCTGACTGATGATCAGTGAGCTAGGCTGACTGGAACTGAGGCACAGTCGAGTTTGGACTCCATGCCAGTTTAGGAAACKTGGTCAGTTCGTCAGTTCACTGGTCAGTCAGAAGGGTCCACATAWACAAAATAAAACGATTTCTAATGAGTTCAGTTTTTTAACACGATAAAAAAATAATAAATAAATTAACATCTAATCCATGGTGTAATACTAACCATTAATATGATATCTAACCGTAGAGCATGTATACAGAACTTATAATTAGGTGAAGCTTATTTAATCATGATATTGTAGACTGATGATGCAAATATTCACGGGTGCCATCTCTTGGATTTCAAAGTGTTCAAAAGATAAAATAAATAGTAGGAACCATGCAGAATACATTTTGGTTCAGTTTTACTTCATTAGAATAAAGCCGTTTATTTAATAATAAGTTAATAATAATGATAATAATAATAACAATTACTGAATAATAAAATGTTAACAAAAAACTCATATATGATTATAGTATTATATAATGGCAATAATAACAACACACTACTGATGATAATAATTGATCATCCATCTTTCACTGTTATTGACAATCTAACGCGGAATTTCCCTCAGCTCGGTTAACCAAGGACACCGAGAAAACATTACTACCACTAAAAAAAACAGCCAAAATGATTTAATTTTCCAAGTTTGAGAAAAATCAAGATCATGAAGCTCCTCAAAATAACCAAGATTTTACAAAAAAATGTAGTTGTGGTTGAAAGGTGATAGCAGCCTCGCCATTATGAAACCGTGTTGGTGTTTTGTGTGCTGTATATTCTCGAATTTTCAAAGGGATTTTTCTCTTTCTTGTTGATTTGGATTTGCTAGTTGACCGTGAAATGGTCTATTATGACTTCTCGTGGAATCAATCCAGGTGTAATAGTGCGTTGACAGACACTCCCAAACTTTATGATGTTTCAGTGATCAAGTAAGCACATGTARTCCATGTGGTGTGACTCTCGAGATGTTTAAGGTCTAAAAATAAGTATGTCAGCTCTACGACTATTCCGTACTGAGTTCAGTACTTTCTTGATTACGCACCCGTAGTATATTTCAGATATATTAAAGATTTACTATTCTGACTCAGAATATTCAAAACCATTAATTACTCACCAACAGCAAAAAAAAGAAGCAATTAACAATAAAAATGTTCATAAATGGTGATAATGTTTTTATAAGTGTCTAAGTGATGGAAACTAAAACATAGCCTACGGACACACACCATATCCCCACCACCACCACCATGCTCAATCAAAATGTTGAGACGACAAATTAATTAATAGATATTTTGCCTTGTTTTCTTAAAAMATAAATCTCAAAGGACTGAAAATTGAGTAAGTCTGACCCCATTTTCAAGGTTTATTCAAACAATTCAGACAAGCGATTACATTCTCACGGCTCCGCTATTTTTATTCAAGAGCACTTGAGCTTGCCGCCTGAACTCGACCATAGAGCGGAAATACGAATGAGAACCCAGTCTTACTCAACTGTCAAATCGTTGATTCAATATTCTAAATTTGTCGTACAAAGGGCACCAGATCGAGGCTAGGGGTACAAGTATGTAATTGTACCACTGTCCTCGATGTAATGTGTTTACGTTGRTTATGTGTCTATTGTTTTGAAACTATGATTAATATTCAATCAACACTGTGTTCGACTGGCATGCCTTCGTGTGTTCGCTGTCGAAAACCGTATTGATTTCAAGGTTTCAAGGTTCGATTCTCATTCAAAGGATTTTCTGCTTCAGTTGCAGATTTAGCGCAAATTCACCCTATTTTTGTAATATTCATACGTAAACTCTATTTGTTTTGATAAGAAAAACTAAGAATATAAAAGGGTTTTGCATTCAATTATTGCTAATCCTACTGACATAACAATAATATTAGTTTTTGCTTGCGTCCTCAATGGGAATATCACTAATGCAAGAGGAATTATAATTAATGTTCAAACCCTATTTCTAGTAAAATATATTTAACTAATGATTCTCATCAATTCAGTAGTCTCGCCAACTTAACAAAAACAAAGTCTTTGAAAATCGTTAGCCATGACGAGTATTTATATATCGTTATAGAATTTGAATATAGTTTACTAGAGACAGGTCATTGAACTGTAGATTAGAGTTTAGTAAGATAAATAATAGTTTTGTTTTGTTTGACATTGTTTTACGTATGTCTATTACGTATGTCTATTATTTCTATTTACGTTTTTTTGTAAAGGATTGATGTTTTTGTCATGTTTTATTTGTTGTTTGTTTGGAAAAGCGAGAAAATATATAATAATATGTAGGTTTATATGCAAATTATTATCCAAGAATATACCTGTACAACCTGCTTGTCTCAGTTGTTTTGCCGCTAGCTTCAGTGAAATTTTATTTTTAGCCAACCCCTRAGAAGTAACACTCTTTACGTGGTACCACCCCCTAGAGGAATACTACTTAGTACCACTTCCTTGGGTTGTTATTGTACTGGAGTTCCCTGCGTTGGGTATAACTTTTCAGTCTGTGTATTCTAGGCCATGAAGGGTCCATTAGGTTTCTACTATTTACTGATTTCTTTTATTATTTKTCTTCTTAGTCAAAACTGAAGAACACAGTGCAGTCATTACACAAGTAMCCGAGAAAGGATCAAGCAAAGAAGAACCTGGGCAAGAATCGCAAGGAGAATACAGACTGAATCTGAAATATCCACATAATGTTCCCAAAGAAAGTGGTTTCATGGTTGAAAATTGTGAGAACAACTCGCAAATCGCTAWTAAAGAAGAAACTCAGAATGATGAACTTAAAGTAAACGAGGTGAATGAACAACTAAATAACGTCACCCAGAAAGAAAATGMAATCACAACACAAAACACTAACGAAYCTTCCACAAAAGATGTCGAAAATGAAATGAAAATCCGGAAAGAATTGGAAATTGTTTACCGCAAATCGGATGACTTCATCCCTGACCATGATCCTTTGCAGGGTTTAGAAGAGTTRGATRATCTTGAAGTTRAAACAAATCAATCCGTTCCTACTGTATCTGTCAATCAAGAAGTCGATTTAAATCGTGAAATATCATCTGAGAASGAAGAAACAATAAATGAAAATGTTACCCTGAAAGATAAAAAACAGTCTCGGAGCTGTGAAGAGCTCGTCGAAGAATCCGTTCCAGTACTTCAGAGCAAACAAGAAGATTCTTTCGATTCTACCGGAAATCAACATGAAACGGAGACAAACGACGCCAGCGTTTTATATCACGAAGAACTGAATCCCAGTGAACTCAATGCAGAACAGTATCATGACCTTTTGGCAAACAAAGATATCCAACAAGAAACAATGGCTAGCCAGGATGTTACTTCTCCAAATCCATCTCTTCACGATATTTCCACTAGTAAACACAATGCTCCATCTGATCATAATTTATCAAATCAAAAATCCACAATGGAAGACTTAAACGAAGCCGGATTTTCTCACGAAAAGAGCTCGTCTCACCCGCAAAATGTTCTCCATGCACAAAAGAACGACAATGATATTCATGCTTCCATAAAAGAGGAATTATCACTTCCACCAAAAGAAAATGATATAAAAACGGAATCMATACCAGAAAGTGACAGCCAACAGGAAAAACCCGCTTTGGTAAAAGCTAGGTGGAGCTACCAGGAAAGACCCACCACTCCTACTGAAGTCGTTCGTATAGAAGAGAGCTCTGGGGCTGAGAAACACCAAGTAAAAGCTAAGTTGAACGAACAACCAATCGCATCAACGCAGATCGTCCGTGTCGAGAAAGGCTACCAGGARCGACCCACCACAACAACGCAGGTCGTCCGGGTCGAGRAAGGGTTCCAGGAGCGACCCACCACACCCACYGAGGTTGTCCGCATCGAGGAAGTCTCTGGGGCTGAGAAACACCAAGTTGAAGTTGTTCATCCAGAAACATGGGACTCGCAAGAAATGTTGGAGGAGGAGAAAGAAGAGCMTAGAGGACGAGCTAAAGTCAAGAAAAGCAAATCGTTTATACACAACATATCACGACTCTTACACGGAAAAAAAGGGAARAAAGGAAAGGATGAAAAYGGTTCTCCTCATTCAGTGAATCCCACAGATTTACACAAASAAACTAATGAGAATATTCCTAAAAAGAGGAAAAGCTTATTCTCAAGGAAAAAGACTAAAACAGCATAAATAAAATTGATGAAATACAGCAGAAATACTGTAAATGAATAAGTTAAATTATAATGCAAAACACTAGTTTTTCTAAAAATTKGATACTAAAACATTTTTATAGTTGAAGAGCCAGGTAACTGGMGTCTTAAAAAATGTACGTAAATATATAGATCTTTCTTGATCTATTCATAAATGATTGACAGTGTATCACTGTTTACACAGGGYGGGGTCCATGTAGAGGGATAAACAAGGGCGTGRGATTGCATTCCTCGTATGCGTTTGTTCTTATTATTTATGTTTTTTTCGTCACGATTTCTGTGATGTGCACGCCCTTCCTGTTGTTCAGTTTATGGATWTACGCCCCGACGCACATCAGCGGTTTGTTCTAAAACGGAATCTGATTGATATCTGATTGCCATTTTAAGGTTTTTTGTTTAATCAGATAATTACATACAGGGTGATAGAAACCGTTTTTATTTTCAAATGAATTGAAAACACAATTTGAAAGCTTTCATAGATAGCTTTGAGTGATCTACATTGTAGCTTGAGTAACAAAGCGAACGTGCACGTAGCCGGTTCGTGCAGSCTACGTCATTTCCTACTATGTGACGTCAAGAACAATAAGAATGAGGTCAAAAACACATTGAATTACTAATATGTTCTAACAATGCAATCTYATTGTTTTCTCTATAGTGACCTGCTTACGGGTTCAGTGATTTCACTGTTAATTGTGAATTGTTGTAATTGTATTTATCACTGAAGATATTTCTGATCTTACGTCAAAAGAAACACTGAAAACGAAGATGATCAATCATTCTAGAATAAATAATCGACATTGATATAGATTACTTTCAATCACGTGACTTTCAGTCTTTGACTGAGTGGCCAACAAGCTGGAGAACACTTCAGTAAAACTTATTCAAATAGCTACTCAAAGTATTTAGAGTGAATATTTCTAATCCTTAAAACCCGAAAAAAATAACAATTCTTCAATCTTTCAAATATTGACGGAAGTGACGTCATTCAAAGAAGAACTGTTCTTTTAATTTAAACTTCTTTAATTGATTTAATTTAGTTMACGCATGATTAATATTATAAAATACATAAATATTTTGTACATTGCACTTTTCTTTATATTTTCATTCTTATTTGCTTGTTTGCATCTTTCATTGATAAGGCTTTAATATGTAGGTTCCCCAAAGTTATACTACAATACAATTTTCTGTTGGCAAATCCAAGGCAAAGGMATTCTTTGAATTCTATTTTAGATAWTCCGTTTTGTTTTGTGTTGYTAAGAGTTTTTACAACTTRTTAAAGAATTGAAACGCTGAAAAGCGTGTACTATATCTATTTACAATACGCGTACGGTCCACTTATAATTCTCGACTAAGAAATTTCACGGGTTTACAAAACCAACTCTAGTTCATACTAAAATTTACACTAAATGATGTTTGTTTTCAACGCTCTGYTTTCTTTRACTAAAATGCCGAACCTGAGTCCCTAAAAATACTCGAGTTAAATGTCTATATGAAATCTTGGTGCTTTGATGCAGGAATATTCGTTGTCTTGGATTCCGCTGACACCTCTAATTCAATCTCAACGAATTCTGAATTGTCCACTTTACTCTGTAGCGCATGCGCACTACACAGAGAGTTCAAGTCTCTGTCCCACAAGTCATTGCAGCGCACAATGGCGGTTCCATTGGATGCCTCTATCAACTGCACCAGACCSTGGTGGTTAACCACAGTGGTTGGCTGCTGAAATTTCATTAATTCGATGTGTCGCTCACAATGTAACATGTCTTTGAGACAGTAAAACGCATCTTTGATAAACCAACCTGACACTGCCGAGAAGAAAACCAGACTTAGGAAGAAAAAAGMCAGAGGTACATACTGGACCTGAAGAAGCTCTCTCGATGACGTAGCAACAGAGTACAAAATCAAGGAACCTGGRACTAGTCCTTTTAGAACTATTGCTACAACGAAGACCGTTGACGATGTGACCATCAGTGTCTTGGACGAATTTCTCTTTTTTAGAACATTTGAGAATTTTTCGTAGTCGAATTCGGCAAATGCAAAACTCCCCTTCAATAACAGTCCTACCAATCCCATGACAGCGCATTGTTGGTAGTATAAAATGACTGCAARTATTGCTATTACCACACTGTGGTGGATTAYTATTGGTCTGTAGTTACTAGTCTTATGCCAGTACAGGGATTCAGCTATTTTATAAATAAACTGACCCAAAGCTACAGAGAAGGCAATGCGAAGAGGACGATCGAAGGCGAAGAAAGGATCTTGAAGGACATTAGATGTCAATGTCAGGACGACACTGCATATTGGGGATGCCACGTAGAACGGAAGACTGCTCGATCTGAAAGGAACAAAAAATAGATTAGATTACTATTAACAAATAGATACTGATGATGAAGCAAAGAGGAAAGCTTGTACTTATACTTGCAATGGGCACGGCTCATAAACTGAGCGGGTAGTCTGAAGCTTATTAATACTGAGAATCTTTATAGCCACGGGACTTGTAACCATTGCGAATAGTCGAAATCTTTTATGATCATCAGATCTTATTGAAAAAGATTCAGAATGATATTTGATTTTGATTTAACGCAAAACTACATTGGTTTCAGATATCTTTCGCTACGATAAGTCAAATGGCGAACTGCCCAGAATGAGTTGGTTGAAATAGAAATGCGATAAATAACAACGATTTTATATCTAAATAAACAATAAATATACTAATAAGTAATGTGGAATAATCACAATTTATGATGAAACTAATCAATTCTTTAATAATTAGGCACAAGGGCAATACTCTCCTTACTGGCCCGAAAAACGTCTCGTGATTTGCTTTCGTTGCGATTTTTAAGATTCAGTTTTGTTACATACTTGGACCACAAAAAACTACAACCATGTTTTTTTAAAAGACTGTTTTTTTTTACAACAAGCCGGACAATTTTTTGAATCAGATTCATATCACGGAAGAACGTGATAATGACGCTAATAATAGGAAAACGTTTCTTTAGTGAAAGTCATAAGGTAATTTGGAATCATTTCCTTCTCATCTAGAWTTACTTGGAGGTGGATCACATGGGTGACACCACACYAATCAATGGATCAGATGTTCCGATCACGCCGATTCGCGTGTTGATCCTATACCAACTGGTTTCCTTGGTAACTGTCAATCAGATGTGTTCAAAGGGATGCGCAGCGATCGAGGAAGTTTAAACATGACTTTTTGGAATTCTTTCATTACACAAAATAGACACTGACGAAGGCAAGAAACCGTAAACGAAAGACAAGTATGTTTCCGTATAGCTGTATCCCGTCAGCTGCCCCCAATAGAATGGTCATAGCGTCACCGTWATTTACTTTGGACTTTATGTAAATCCATAATTAACTATRGTAAATCCTAAGGACGTTTAAAATTTCCTGCTTTGAAACCTAACAAAAAACATCGAACAATGTTTCAATTATGGTCGTCATATAGTCAGCGTCATTAGCCACAAACTGCGTAATTCCCTGTGCGTACATGTTTATGGTCGTAATAACATATCCTGCCTCGACCCCAACATTGCCCATCACAGAAAACGTCTTGTTATATTGTGGTTGAGCATGATTGATTTTATAATGACAAAGGTTTTTTCCCTCTTGCGTTTTCTCATAAACATAGTAACTATGTTGTAAGCCTGTAATCTTATGTTATTTTCCATCAGCAAAATATTCCGTAAAGCTGTGRTTTTACTGATTATTGGTGTTGTTTWTTTCTTGCTAGACAAAGAACGTYACATAGTGAGAATTATCCGTGAATAAAAACACATAAAGTTTGGCGGGACATTCATGAATTTAGCATATTTGATTGTTGAAGCATATTTTAATAATTATGGTCGAACTTTTGAAAAAATACCAAGAATAAAACGTTTTGTAAGGCCACAGGAAGAAATAAAATAGAGAATACGAATAATACAACGGTTATGTATATCATGTGAGGTTGTTAGTAGCAACGCTATTTCTTCTTAGAAAAATTGATGCAAAATGTATATTCGCTTGAAAGAATTCAAAAAAAAAAATACTCACATACGGTTGATGAAGGCAGTGGAGTTCGTTTGAAGGTCTGAAGTGAGTTCTTTATCCTTCTTGCAGAGGTTAAAGGCCCACGGCAAACTCAAATAAAACACCAAACAAAGATTAACGGTTATCGAAGCAGATAAAAGGACTTCTATGGCTTCGTAACTGAGAAAACTTCTGTCCATTTTTCACCGATAATGTTTCTTGTGAGACTTTGTTATTGATTGTAAKGACATACTATGGCAGACTGTGCCCTTTGACAAAGTGCAAAGTATCTGGTGATGTTTTTTATGCGAGCAGGAAAACGACTTTCGGGGTTTTCCCAGACCAAAATAGAATTGATATATTGAGCCAGCAATTTCCGGTTTCGATTGTCAGCTGGCGTTGAATGAAATTCTCATTATTTATCGAGTAGAGCGGAAGTCATATGAATTTCTTRAATTATCATAAGTTTGATTCATACTGTGGAATACTTCTTGATTATAAAATATACCTAATAATTGCCAATAATTCTGTGATAGTTGCTTTATTTATTCTTCAGGAAWTTTTCTAAGTGAAACCAGTCCAATAATGACACAACATTTTTATCATTTCTCAGTCTAATGACTTCTTCCTTTCTCAGATAATCATGTCATTGAACTGTTAGTTTCTACATTTATCTTTTCTTTTTTTACCTAATTTTCCTGATTCCTGTCATTTTCGATTTCCTTGTAAGGTCTTCCTTTTTCTTATTCGTCGGTCGTCACGATTTTTATTTCTTCAAATGTCGTCAGTTCCTTTTGTTTCTTTTTCAATTTAAAAACATTTACATGTTAACCTGGCAAAAACATTCGCAGAAACCAAAAAGAATAATTAATAAACTAATAAATTAAATTAAAAATGAATAAAATATAATAAACAAACACACACGCACACGCACATGACCGCGCAGCCCAATCATACGACCAGGCTTATGTCGATCAAGCATGTGATAAACTTCTGTCGTGCGCATCGAAGTATTTCCCAGGACTTCCCTTCCAGCTGTTATAGAGTCGATTCATTGCGTTGTAGGCAGGATGAAGGAACCCTCGAAACTATATAATAGTTGAGTTGACCTTAAAATCCCCTAAAAATCAACCATTGAGCCACGCTATTCCGGGTTCAAACAGTAAAAGTGGTGGGTAGAATAGCCAATTAAATGAAGCTCAATTTCAAGCGTGGGATGTTAGAGCGGATTTCTTATGACTGTGCTAACGCACGGTTTACGGCATGGACACGGCATGGTACGTTCACGGAGCYAAGTCTTCTAGTGATTCTGAATAAAAATTAAGATTCAGCAATACATCAACGCTACGGCACGGTAGGGCCGTTTAGAGAAATACCTAACCTTGGCGCGCTGTTCCAGGTTTAGCGTAAGTGCACGTGTTTGTCGTTTGTTTTTGCATATGACCGATAAATATGCKGGCGAAATTTAGMGACGTCAATCACAGTGAATGCAATGCATGCAGGGAAAGAGGTGATTTAGCCATCAGGCTCTCTTGAAGGTCTAGAGGTGATTGTGGACTGGTCATGAGCTCATAGCCGTTGGAGTGGGTGCCCCACATTTTGAGGTAGAATCAGTTTSTCATTTTACAAAGTCCWCAGARAGAACTATTATCMCTCGKTAACTAAAATCAGCCCACTTTAGATATTACACATAAGAACTGAATTATCGCTTCTATCTCTCTATAGGCTATGACAAGTCCGTATTGTATCTTTGCATATTTCTTCAGTAGAAAAATAAACAGACTTCAAACTCACAATTTCACCCTTGCCACTCCTTGATGTCACTCTTCCGGTATAGAATCTATTGTGTGCCAACTGTATTGCCAACAAGGGGAGGCCGGCCATATTTGGCTTGAAGTCCACTTGACTTAYGCGAATGTCATAGTGCGTTGAAAGTGGATAGTTTTTGTTTGTTTTTATCGATGTTATTCCCTTTCATTGAGAGCATATAATGCAGAAAACGGAACTAGCGTGACTAAACCGGAGTAATGCGTGACTTTTAAAATCCTCAAAACCGGAAATGGCAGTTGAAATRTGAAAATTGATTCAGTCTACMTATAGAACAAACTATTTTCATCTTMAAGCAATAAAGAAAAGTAAAGGGATGTGATATTCATTTAACTATTCAATTCTGAAGCTATTCTATAATAATTTTACTAAGATTTATTGAAATTGTAGCCTCGTTCTGAATTTTGGCCTACTTCCGGTTTCAGTGTTTATTTTGACTTCCGAGTGCCGGTGCAAATGAAATCTTTCTCTGTATGTACTGCATAACTGTTTAAAGAACAATATTGATGTATTTGGATTTTTTGGGCTGAATATTTAGTGGTTTATGGAAATTTAACGTATTCCATGGACTGTAAGTAATATGTTAAATACTGTATGGGGTATTTGTTTGTTCTCRATTCATTCATTTGCATGATGATCACGGCTTTTGTTGAGCAAGGGGGCTCGGGAACCAAGGGCAGAGTAGCAACTTTATTACTGTAAAAAATTATTTTAAGCATTTCTATAACCTCCATTGCATCGTGACCAAGTTMAAAYCCTTCTAGAAGTGGTTGRCTAAGTCATAGAGGTAAAAMTTTAACTTGAATTTGTGGTTCAGATTTTTTGTGATTTTCTGGAAACTTTTCGAACTTTTTCATTCATTTTAGATTGTCTGCTGACATCAAACGTGTTACCACGTGTCGAAGAAACGATTTWAAAGCACGAAAAGCCCATACACATGGCTTCGTGAGTCGTCTTGGACTACCATGGAAGACAGGCCAGTATCAGATCAACCTGAGAGCGTAGAAAAGCGCTGCCAGATTGAAGGATGCAAAGATGTCACMGTAGGAATAAGGACTTCGTTATGCCGAAAGCATCGACACAACAAATATAAGCAAAACTATAAGAAAAAGAAACGTAGAGCACAAGGAGTAGAGGTATGAAGTCTTTATTGCTCTGTCTATTTGAAACAATCATTAATAACTAGACTTAGGCCATTGATCGCGAACAAGAGATGRTAAGCCATGCTAGTTGAGTTGAGCATGGACACATGTTGACTCTTCGCTACCCCTCGAGTGCTGGCGACTCTTTGTCTTTCTCAAAACCTTTCAAATATCTCAGGCTATTCATACCAAATCTTTTACACTAAACGAACAAGATATTAGTTTAATATTTTTGTGGTTAGCAGACTTATCAATGATTGTATAGAATTTGTGGCTTATTCAAAGATATTCAATTCTATTGCGCTGAAATAACACTTGATCGCTTGATTTCACTGTTTAAACCGGATGACATTGATAAAAGACGAGCTGCATTAAATCTGTACCAAGGTATATTTTTAAATCATCAAGCAAATGATCTCTTTTTGTCAGTYATAAATGAATATATAGGTTTGTTTGCGGTCAGATAGATACAGAATATTTTGAGTAATAAATGCGTTCCATCATCGATTGATTTGAGGCCTTTATTCCCCCGTGTATAGTATTGTGTAAATATGCGTCATCTAATGTCTCTCTGCTTTTTAATGAGAATTGTTGATAATTAGCGACAGAAAATTCACGTCAATCGTTTTGACAAGAATTTTTCCTGTATGAGAGGGGTGATAAATAAGTGGTACCCCAGATGGCCAGGGAGGGGCCCAAGAAGAGGGTACCCTGTTCCTTGATTCAATAAGTGCTTAGAAGCGTGAAAACAAATGTAAATTCTCTACCTGTGAGCTTGAATATTTAATCAATTTAATCCCAAATTGTTTACCTTTTATTTAAATTTTCTCAAAGAAATCTTTATTTATATATTTTCATTTGAGGTCACTAAAAAATGTCAAATTTGAATATAAAAAACTTGTTGAAATATATAGATGCCAAGTTCAAATTTGATTGCCAATAACTGATTGTGTTTTTCTTTTTTAAAATTTTTATTTGTGTCACCAATTATTAACTTCGTAAGGGTTTTATTTAAAATATTAATGCACATTCTGCATGGCTTAGTTACTTTTTTAATGCATAAAACCTGAAGTAGCAGCTTCATGTTTATTAAGTGATTAATGTTGATATTTACTTCAAGAAATTGATGTTTTGTTTTGGCAAGTATATACACAAATACACTAAAAGGTATTAACTAAGTCATTTGTATTTCACCTTACTAACTATTCACTTTCTTTTTAAACCTGACCTCTTTCTTGGTAAATGATCATTCAATCTCAAATCCCAACAATACACTCAAATAACATCTCYTTCTGTCAAGATTCACACATCCAGAATGGCGAATAAAGTTTTGTTGATTTGTGTTTAATCACATATGGTATTAAAGACTTATAATAATAATTATCTGGAGAACTTTATTATAAAACGAAAAAAACTTTTGTTAAAATTTCAACCAACAAATACACTGAAAAGAATTTATTTAAAAATTTAAAAATTATGAAACTTCCACTTGTATCACTGACCTGAAAAAACAAAAACAGATTACACAATAGCAGCAACACAAAATTATTGTCCCATCGTGTCACATTATGTCGCSCAAAACATCATGTTGTTTTAATAACACTTATAAGGATTATGGTTGGAAGAGGGCAAAAGAATCTCTGCGGCCTCCTCTGCATATTAAATGTACACAAGCAAATTATTGATACATGGTACATATAGCAAAACTAGATAATTTCAGAGAGAATATGACAGGACAATGTTCTTAATTGAATTTCATCTTGACAGGAAAATCAGAATGATTCTCTGGAGAACCAATTAGCACTTGAAAAGTTTCACCGTGAAARAAAGTATGCAAGCATGCTTCAGCAAGTACTTGTMCAGAAAAGACTGGTGAGCTATTTATAATTGGGTCATCTTTAAATGGCCAGGCTTGGATCTAGGGATACAGTGTCAAATGGAGTTGTTGGCTGCATAGCGGCTGCTCCCTCCCCCTATATCWCGCAGCCTTCTATACTTTAATTATCTCTTCCCTGTATGTATGTCGAGTCTCCATTGACCCTTACCAACTCCCCAAAGAAATTTGCAGGGATGAATGAAACTTAGGAGGATGAAGAGTAGGTCAGAAAGAGAAAACATTTACATGATGTAAGCTTCTTTTCTTCAATGTGTGRCAAGCTATATTTTTGAAGTTCTATTTTTGCAACTTTCTTATACCTCAGGAGGTTTTGCATCCATTAAAACTGCAAATCATTCTTATGGATTTCATCATCTTTTGTCATCTTATTTGATCGGGGACTTGTTGGTTGGGGTGGGGGTGTGAGAACAGTAGTTGGGACACTTCTATCTAAATTGTTGAATGTAAATGGTGCAAAGCCAATGCTTCATCCAGCCTGCTGCAATTATACATTTTACAGGAACTTACTACCCCATCTTAAAGGATTGGTACTGACTTTTTTGTTGAAACATAGGAGTTGCTTCAGTCTCCGAGTATTTGCAATCTACTCAGAACACACCAACAGAATGTCCTTGAATCTAAAAACAAAGAAATCCTGGAGAAGCGTAAAGCGGCTTCAGATTCCTCAAAACACGAGGACGAAAAGCAGAAAAAAGCCACAAGTGAAACAGAATCAACTACTGTAACATCAGCGCCCACTATTAAAGGTTAGCTACTTATTTGATAGTCAATTTGTGTTGAATAACATTGAGGAAATGAAATTTAACAACACGAAACTACAAGGACTGATACGAAACGAAAGAAACCGAAACGAAAAAAAAAACAACAGCAAATAAAAACGAAATTGAATTGAGTGGAACTAGATGTATCAACCAAAGCTCAGAAGGGCTGCAAACRTACCAGGGGTCTACTAAAMAACGTACATAACAACATGTATCAACCAAAGCTCAGAAGGGCTGCAAACGTACCAGGGGTCTACTAAACAACGTACATAACAACATGTATCAACCAAAGCTCAGAAGGGCTGCAAACGTACCAGGGGTCTACTAAACAACGTACATAACAACAAACGTGTGCTTGTATCAGTATGTACAACTCATGAAAAGTACGGTGTTTGAAACAAAATGAAATGAGAAACCGTATAATAAAGTCGTATGATAATGTGATATTGAAAGTTTTCCCTGTTGTTGTCAGTAAGGGAATTTCCCTGCATGTTCATGAGATGTGCGATTCAACTATACGTTAATATAATTGTTCATGGTTTTTAGTGGCCAATGCATCTCCAAAACAAGCTTCCTCAGCGAAGTCTACAAAACAAGGCTCACGGCAGCCAAAACAGTCCACCAAAAACTCGAAAAGTCGTTCCAACAGTAGCTCAACATTGTCACAGAATGGCGGTCAAAAAGCCAAGGCTGTCAGATGCAACAGCACAGGCCAACTTAACTTAACAACACTTTCGACTGGCAATTGGAGAAATGAGGATACMAAACAAGGTCTACCGTTCCAACAACAACGATATACTCATGAACAATTACTGCAGCACGTCACGCAACAAGTGATGCATCAACAGAACCAACAACAACAACAGCAACAGCAGCAACAACAACAGATTTACAATGTACAAACACTACAAACAGAACTATTATCTCAAAAAATGATTAGCCCAAAACATGACTCGCAACAACCGCAGCAGCAGCCACAGCAGCAGTTTTACAATCTACACCCAAGACCATCACAACAACAGCAGCAGCAAAGTCATTATCAGCAACAACAACGACAGCAAGTACAGCAGCAACAACAACAACAASAACAACAACAATTACAAAGACAGTACGAACAAAAACGAATTCAAGAACAAGTTTTGCAGCAACAACAGCAGCAGCTGCGGCAACAGGAGGCAATCCAAGCCAACAACCGTCGTAATAACCTTCAGCAACCAAAACACCACCAGCAACACCGCCAGCAACAACACATTCCACAACAACAGCAGCAACAACAGCTGCCACAGCAACAATTGCCACAGCAGCAACAACWGATGCCACAACAGCAACAACAGATGTCACAACAGCAACAATTGCCACAGCAACAGCAACAAATGCCGCAACATCATCATCCGCAACACATGTTACAGCAGCAACATATCTCACAACATCACCAACAGCAACGACAAATGCCACAACAACAACAGCAGCAAATGACGCAGCAACAATCGCAGCTTATGTCACAACACCAACAACATATGCCTCAACATCAGCGTCTTAAACAACAACTGCATCAACAGCAGCAGCATCAATTACAGCAACAGCAGCAACACCAATTGCAGCAATATAAATTACAACAGCTTCAATTACAGCAACATCAGTTGCAACAGCAACGCCAAATACAGCATCAGAAGCACTTGCAACCTCATCTTCACAAGAATAATCATCTGCAGCACCACCATCTTCAACAAAATCTACAAAATACAGTGAAAAATACCATGGAAACTGCTGCACAGTTACCAGGTCAAAGACTTCCCTCAATGCCTTTAATTTCGTCGCTCTCACGAATAACTATTAACAATCCCGTAACTGCGTCGTCTACCGCTCGGCCTCTTTTACCAAAGGCGGCCTTATCAAACACTCCAGGAAAGTCCCGCAACCCACAAATAGTTTCCGTTACTCAAAATCGACCCATCGCGCCCCGGACTCACGGAGTAGTACAGACCAATAGTGGGAACACAGGAATGCCTGTTATCACTGCTATTATATCGGGACCTCTTAGTCAAGAAATATTGCCACAAAATATACCAAACAATGATCGTAATGCGGTGTTTTTAGAAACAGACTTGAATAGCACTTTAGGAAGCAATTATTCTCTCTTACAATTTAACACTGCACAGATGAATAGYTTGTTGAATGATAGTGAAACAGCGACGATACTGCAGCAAAAYCAGGTAGGTCGTCATTGTCATATCCACAATCTCTTAGTYATGTATAACTAACTAATGAACGCCTTGAATTAACGCGTTCAAAGGCTACATCATGGAGGATTATACCGAAGAGGTATATGGGATGGGAAAGAAATTAATGCTGTGTATGTAGACTACTGAGTACTGTTCTTCGAATGCTATCATCAGTCCAATGATTTACCTTTTCGTGCACCGCTACGGTTTTAGCTCAAACTTGGATTATTGACATCGTATTTTCAGTTAGTTTATACTCTAGTACTTTGAAGTATATAGTGACGGACATCGTAATTCGATGTTTCGGTCCCAAGATCTCGCGGTATCAGTTAGGCTATCCCATGGTGCATTTCGAATATTGCGCAACGTCATAACGAGAAAGGATCGTTCATTGCATTCATTAACAAGGGCTGATTCATAATTTTCCACTTTTTATCATTATTTTTGTTTGTTTTTGTAGGTAAAGGACAGCGTGGCTTTGAGTACCATTGACACTGTAGTAGCATCAGGGGTTGATATAATGAATTCTTGGCCGATGAATATAGACAATATCCCGCTTTAAATCATACAAGTAAGTATACCTCATGGGCTATCAGCAGCTCGTAGTCCACTCGCCCTCGAGGTCTAATTAATTAACCACCTAGAATATCACTCTCTAGACAACTATCAACATCCCTCTCCATGCACCCGTCCTGCATGACACATGATATTGGTTATCAGAAGTGTTGTACTTCATTGGAAAACAAAAGCAAATCTAGAATTAGTGACAGAATACGAACACTATTAGCCCTTGTTGTGGTAAATAGAAAGAATAAAAAAACAAGACAATTAGCATTTTAACACTATTATTTGTGTTGCACGCTTTCAAGATCTACATTTATATTCCAGCCGTGAGGGAAACTTTGACCAAATGAAACGTCTGCTGATTTAGTGCGCGCATTTGTCATACCCAGTTACACACATGAAAACCCTATCAGCTCTTAGTACTCCTAATATATTTCAAGAGTATTTCTTATTTTCCTTTTTAGATTTTGTCATAAGATCCGCAGAGAACAATTACCCAAGAATGGACGTCGTCAGTAATCCATGAGAACTATAAATAAATTGTTCATTTATATTCTTGTTTTTCTCTTCTTTCTTCTTTCCTCTTTATAACAAGACTTCGCGCTAGTCCTTCGCCTTAAGTTTCGGTATTTTTWTRGTGCGAGTTCGCTAAGACGGTTCGACTTATWATAAGTCTCATTGACTGCGAAAAGGCACCKACTTAGGCATGTACGCCTTAGTTCTCTAGTCTGATAAAGGTACGTTCTGCGGTATCTATGTGTGGGAGTGTTGTACAGTCAAGCATTTCAGGATAATTTCGTGTGAACGAACAAAATTAATTAGAAAGTACAACAAAAGGAATCAGTAAAATGTATGTAAAGTGAGCAAAGAGAAAGCAAAAGTTGGAGGAAATACTAAAGAAAAATATTGTTTAGCAAACAAGTATGTGTTTGAGTGAAAACCTAACATTTAATAGTCGTAAACATAAAACAGCGCTTCTCTGAAGACAGAAGAAAATGCACTAGAAAATCCTAGAACCTGATGGCTATGAATGGAATACACACAAACGTAGCACACACACGATATTTTTCTAGATCCTTCAGTGAAAACTGTGAATGGGACTAAAAAAAGATCAAGTTTCAGAGATAATGTATAAATGAAAGGCGGCACACGTAAAAATATGCAGATGTATCTAATAGTCTTTATTTCATTAAAAAATGATAAATTAAAGTATGCCCTTCAATTACTAAACTACCTTTTACGGCGATGACTTTTGCAAGTTATTTTCGAATCTTATTTAAAAATAGGATCACTTCTATTGACCATTTATTCTAATAAATGTAAATTAAATATTATTTTCCAATGGAACTTTTTCTTCTGATAATATTTTTTCAGATCGATGAATAATCAAACCGAGTTGGAAAACGCCYTYCACTAATGTCTGAGAAGTAATTGTCGGTATTTGAATAATTGATAAAAATTTTTATGCCACGTCGTGGGTTTCGACAGACAGCTTCTTGTGGAAAAGGACACAAGCAGATCGACATATTTTTATAGGGGCGTGGTGGGCGAACACATATCCCTCTCTCGATGTTGTTTTAGAAATTGCATCTTTTTGTAGCACCTCGAGGGGCCAATGTGAATTTACCCTGGTTAGTTTCAGAGGCTTGTATTTCTTRTTTTCCAACCACGAAGCAACGGGATGATAAAACAATTGCCTATTAACGAAAGCAAAGGAAGTCAATGCCTGTGGAACCAGGGACGATTATACTTAGAATTTGAAATGATAAAATGATACGAAACTTCAGTAACACAGGAAAAGGATAAATGGAAGATATTACATGGGCGCGCGGAGATACGGATTTTATCTTCGAGTGTTGAAACGATCTCTCACGAATGAGCGTAGCGAACGAGCGAGAGATTTTCAACACCAGAAGATAAAATTCGTATCTCCAAGCGACCATGTAATATTCTGTTTATCATATAATTGCATATGAAAGCCAATTTTGTCGTAAAATACCTTTTTTTCTTGCTTTTACTATATAGAGAAACCTCGAATGTGTCATTTTCACTAGTGAAATAAAAATATCAATTTTACGAAATGGAGAAATATATGATGACATATTTTTATGTCAATTTGAAATAGAGAAATACATGTTCAAGTACAATATTACACTTTAAAATGTTTTTTTTTAGTAAAAGTAGTTTATTAGAAATGCATTTATAAATGCAAATAAAAGTGACTCAGGAACCTTAACTACATATCAAAACCGGATGTCTGAAGTTGCAATATCGGCACGAAACTCTCACGAAACCGTTATTTGAAGTGATCTTACACAATTGCTTATAAAATACACAAAAGCTACCCACCAACTGACACTTGTGGAACGTTGTTAAGGCATGGTACTTGGGGAACCGACGCTTGGTAACTATGCTACCAATGACTAAATACCGATATCATTATTAGCGGATTATTATTAGGAAGATAATCCATAAAACAGCTAGTAAAAAGTATGTCAAAGAT